TACATTTCCAATGTTAGTGGTATGTTACTTTTCTTTTCACGTAATTGAACCAACGGAGCCTGCTTTCGATCAGCTTTTCTGCCTTGGTTCCATCCGTAGTGCGTTATGAAGTTGTTTCAGATGTGGTTCTTTCTGGTGACAATAGCTGTCAAATCATAAGTGATGTTAAGAAATCAAACTGTGCGAATTACGGATCGGATGTACTCATAATCATAGTAATGCACATGATCGAAATATTCGAATGACCGCTGACGAATCTTGGAAAATAACGATCACTAGTAACGTTAGAAAACCGAACTCAGGGATGACCAAACGGGCATTCGCAAAACTTGTTTTCCTGAGGCTAAATTTTAGTCTGATTTTATTAGTCGTGCCGCCCATGTATTCAATGAACAAACGTTAAGTCGGTTCTGGAGTCGTTCTTGATGACGATTCACTGGCATACATTGGCATTGGCATATGATCCATCATATGTAAAGCGGAGTAGCTTGAGTGACATATTATTAATCAGTACTTTGTTGTTTTCCAGACGATGTTCTTCCACGACGTACACCATAAAGTTGTATGGGTATGTCGCTGAACGCTGATCAATATTCGAAAACCACTTGTCATTAAATGGTAATCAAGCTCGAATACTGAACTGACTGTTGTCACTGAAATCTTGAAACTGAATCAAACTGATTAAATACCTGTATCGGTAGTTAAGCATGTTATGTCCTGAACCAGGCGCATTATATACATTAATTCAAACAGACATTTAATGTGTCTGAAGAACCGCTGCTCTGTGACCGTAAAACTACACGTGAACAATCATGCATTCTTAAACGTACATATCACACCATGTAGCACGCTGCTCGCTGTATAAGTTTAATCGCTGAATTCGAAGATATTGAATTGCCACTGCGATATTAAACAACAAAGAAGTCACGATGCTGCGTCGCTGCTCGATGGCCACAGAATGTCGTGCACAATTGTGCTCTTAAACGATGGAAATACTTATGCACTATTGTAGGGCTGACCGCAGGTTGGTCGCTGAATAGCAGAAGAACCAAAATATCCAGCAGTTTACTACGATGTTGAATGGCGGCTCTATGGCCAAAAAACGACGCATCACAACCGTACTTTTGTAAATAATACAACGTGTACAACTGTCCCGCTGCGCGCTGCATTTTTATCTTTGAATAATAGTGGGGTCGCTGTTTAAAATAATACACCACGATGGTAAACAACAAAGAATCCACGGTATTAAGCAAGCTTGACCGATTCCACTGGCAAATCGGTCCGGTTTTACTGGTGCACCTTATTCCTTTATGAAGAACCGTCAGCTATGCCATCGCCATTAGAATTCCGTAGTGGAGAATTACACGCCACACTGGAGAGGAACTGAATCACATACTTTCAGGAATTTAAGCAGCATCTCCTGTTAGGAGTCGGAAACCCACGAATTGTTCAGTAATGTGAAAATCTCCACAAATCAGGTCGGCCCTGAAAGCTCTGATTCGTGCTCTGCGAAACTTCAGTGATTTTTACACAAGAATGTATGTGTACAATTTCTCGATGGTTGGTGCAGTGTCGTTCTCAGACTTGAAAGATAATTATGGCTTCGCTTTTCCAGTCTGTGGGGATTAACCTAGTCGAAAGACCTAGTGGACAGAACTGAGGCAGATTTCACTTGTCCATTTCAGAATGTTTGCAACAAGCTCGACGGGCCCGCAAGATTTCGAGCTTCGATGGAGTCATCTCGATTTTCAGATTTCTTCTATCGATGGGCGAACAGAACGTCCAGATCGGTCCACTGATTTTCACCTCCAGGTCTATCACAGAACTAGGCTTCTTGAAGATCTGGATGAAGTACTCACCAGCTGTCCCTAGCAATTGCAGTGACTTGTTGGACTTGTTTGAAGAAGACCGATTGTAAGGGTGCGATAAAGTCGCTCGCTTAGTAATGTCGTCTAATGTCCGTCGCTGCGAGTACTTTTTTCACTGCTCTTCTCATTCTCTTAAACGGCTCCTCAAATTTTGCTAAGCTGTTAATTTCCTTTCGAATCTTTAATATAAAAAACGGCTGTCCACCATACATCTGCCAGCAACGTCTGGCACTGCAAGACCAAATATGGGTCAATCAGAGGCAAAATGACTTTTTACAGCAGTTAAATCCATCTTTCTGATCCCAATCGAAAGATTCGTGAATTAACAACCATTCACGCAAAATATTTGCATGGAACCGCGACAGCGAACCGAATGTTTTATATTTCTCTGTAATGTTGTGATTTAAAGAGATTTTGACTATTTTTGCTGGCATATTACTGAAAGGGCTTGATATCTGTCGACCCCGCTTGAGAATCATCAGCAAACAGGGTTGCATTTAAACATATGAGAGTATCTACAGCTATGTGGAAAGCACTTCGGACAACCACCCGCTTCCTCCCATCACTTGATGCTTGTTCAACTCAGGAATTCAAACTCATAATCGCGGCGCTGAACTGACAACTGCAAGATCTG